AAGAACTTTACTAAGACTTTCCTTTACTGGGGGTGATGATACTCACAGATTTGCCAGTATTCACCATGAAAGATGCAAAGTCCAGTGCCATATCTACTGTGTACCTGACATTATGAGTTTCTTCACTTCTAGTCTAAGATTCCCTTACTTAAAAGATGAACTTGGTGAGATACTGGACCCTCAATAAATTTACCACTGACTTTATAGTCCACCAATTTTCAGTCAAATAGTCCCCAATCTGCAGCTTTCATTTCACAAGTCTGTATATAGAAGGGAAAGAGTAAAACATGCCAGTGGATGAATTTTTATGTTGAAGCCTTGGAGAGATAAATGGAATACATGTGAGGTATGTTGAGTGGTAAGATTGAATTGTATAGAAGAGAAAATGATAAGAAACTTGAGATCAGTGGATAGTTCAGGTTCTGAAGGAGACAAGTGGAGAATGTGAAGGTGAGGTGGACTCACAAAGACTCAGACACACAGAGCCCATTGGGAATTTCCTGTGCATGTGTATGGGGTGCTTTGCTGAAGCCAGTGACATAGATAGCTGTATCTTCTTTCCTGTTGAATTTTCCATATCACTTGAAATGCCTACGTAAGATTTTCCTTCATTGAAGTAGCATGAATAAAGCTTCTTAGCCAATGCTGGTGGCTATCTAATGATTCCTCCACTTGGGAGACAGACAGACGAGGAGACTTGACCCTTCCAAAGGTGGGTTATTGAAAACCAAAATGAGACCTACCAGTAGAGATCTGGGCAGTTTGTCTTCTTTACAAACATCTTGAATGAGAGACTCAAATAGCTGAACTGGCCGAGGTGAGCTCGGGATAGGTTCTTTGGGCTGTAAATCCTTGTTTCTACAAAGACCCCACTGATTCAGCCACTTTCTTACTGAATGTATCGTTTGAGTTCTCTTCATGTGACAATCTGAGGGAGAAATGAGAGGTTTAGATGCAAAGCTGAAGTCAGAGATGCTCATTTACAGCGTTCCCAGGCTATAGCACACGTATTGAAGTGGCTAGAAAGAAATTGCATCTCTTGTATAGAAATGTCTAAACCCTGAAATGGCACCCAGCACCCAAGTGGTGAGAACATGTTCTACTTTCCCATATCATAGAACTGCTAATGAAATCTAGAGTTTGAACAGTCTCATGTTCAATTCTTTAGTGGGAATATTTGCCAGACAAGGCTAGCCACAGCTTGTTGCATTATACAGTGAGGTTTTTAGCCTGTAGAGGTGCAAGTTTCCTGATGCTAAGTTTAAACTGCATGTTCATTATCAAGCCTCATTTGAAAAGCTAAAAGGCATTTGATATTCCAAATAAATCAGAAGCTGATAATCATCTCTGTTCATAGTCAGGCTCCTCTCACTTTGGGATTTCTTTTCTTTTTTTTTTTTTATTTGATAGGTAGAGTTATAGACACTGAGAGAGAGAGACAGAGAGAAAGGTCTTCCTTCCATTGGTTCACTCCCCAAATGGTCGCTACGGCCAGCGCTGCACCAATCCAAAGCCAGAAGCCAGATGCTTCTTCCTGGTCTCCCACATGAGTGCAGGTGCTTGGGCCATCCTCCACTGCCCTCCTGGGCCACATCAGAGAGCTGGACTGGAAGAGGAGCAACTGGGACTAGAACCCATTGCCCATATGGGATGCCGGTGCCGCAGGAGGAGGATTAACCAAGTGAGCCATGGCACCGGCCCCTGGGATTTCTTATTTGGCATTTGGAATGCCTAACCACTGCCTACTATCTCCAATCACAGGAATCTCTTTCTTTGCACAAGTTTTCTGAGCCTACTCCTCAGCCATTCTCTGGCCCCTTCTTCCTGAGGGCTGAGAACTTCAGGCAAGTCAGTGGGTGACCTTATTCCTCTTTCACCAGTTGGTGTCATTGATTGTGTGGAATAATCCTCAATGGCCTTGTTCCTTGTGACATGTGGCCAAGTGAACCAAAATGCTTTCTTACTGATCAGCAGCCCCTGCAAATTGAATGCTGATCAAGGATTGCTTCTCAAAGAAATGGTGATCAGTAACAAACAGCTGAATTCCAAGGATTTACTGCTCAGGTGCATACCTTTTCAATAAGGTATCTAAATGCTTTCTCAGTTAACTTCCTTATACCAAATCATAAACTGAGTCAACTCAATGCATTCTTAAAGCAAGAACTTTAATTTAAAACATTGTAAAAGTCATGGTGTAGCCTGATAGATGACTGTGTTTCCAAAATCCGACTTAAAGACACATACACTGGGCACTTGATGGGCATTGTGTGCATCACCATTGCACACACATGAGGGCAGCACTCCTAGTGGACAGAGATCAGGAGGGGCTCCTCATTATGCCACTTAGAGGAACAGATAATCAAAATTTTTAGAGTTTCAGTTGGCTCAGTTTGTACATGAACAATACTACTTGCACCTCTTTGACTGGGCTACGTAATATACTACTCAACAGAGTCTAGGTAGGTACATAGTGGTCTAACCAAAGGCAATTAAATGATCCAGGGTACCTGCAGTTGCAGGGTAGCTTTTTGGATCTATTGTGATTTCTCCAACACAGGTGAAGATGTCACTCCTAAAAATCCTCACGTAATTTTCAATTAGAAATTGAACAAGGGCAACCTGTAACACAAAGGCCAAAATAAAATGTATTTTTATATTTTGCATCACTATAAACCATATTTCATATATGAATTGTGGATCTAACAAAAATGTGAAACTCCAAAAATTCAGCATTGATATTAAAACATATAAACCCATTTTTCTCTATGAAACATTATCAGGTTTCAGAGTATTTGTGCAACAGATATCTAAATTCTTTGAATCCACGGATTAACACTTTCAGTTTGCACCTTTTTTGTGGGCAGCTTACATTGATGACTACATTTTTAGAGATATGACATTTTCAATTAGGAGGTTTGAGGTGAAAAAGTATAGTCACATTTTAATATTCATATAGCACCCAATAGACACAAACTTGGAATCTCATTTTCAAAGTAGTCTGTACTCGGGAAGCAGAGATTCTCAGCAGCTTCTATTGGCAAGAAAGGAGGCAGGTAGAGAAAAAATGTCTGCTTGTCTGACTGCAGTCTCTCCTTGTGCACTGCCCCACCTCACCTCAGCCTTCTGCCTCACTTTCTGGATGAGCCTGACTTTGTCATGTTGTCACTCCATTGTGATGTTCTGGAATCTTAGGCTCATTCTTTTTAAATTTTATTTAAGTTATGAAAGTTTCATGTATTTCATATACACAGATTTTGGAACATAGTGACACTTCCTCCCCTGCCTGCCTCCCATCCATGCTTCTTCCCATCCTCCACCTCCCTCTCACATTCCTATGCTTAATTTTTACAGAAATCTATTTTTCAGTTTCTTCAATGCTTGGTGTAGGCTCATTTTTATGTTCTTCCAGCAGAGCAGAAATCAGACTCATATCTCTGCATGAGTCACAATTAGCAGAGCAAGGTCAATGGGTGCACCCATACTGCCCAGACATTCAGGCAGTGTCACCCAGTTCTTGCGTCACTGTAACTATAACCAGTACATAAATAAAAATCTTCAGCTGGGAAACAGTGTTCAACGTCACACTCAGTGGTGATGCCAGCATAGAACCTTGTTTCCTACAACATCAAAGCCCAGGTTCATTTCTATTATACTACATGAATTTTTTCTTTCTAAAGCTTATCTTGAATCTGTTGTTCTGATTCTTGGATGGAAAAAAGTGACTCAGTGCTCTCCCAATCCATTATGAATGCAAGAAGGATGAATATATTCCAGAGGAGTACCTGAAGTGTGCACTTCAAAATGATCCATCAGAATTAATACACTGAATTTTAGACACAAAGTAGAGACAGTGCTCCCTACGGGTAAAAACTAGACATGCAATTACCTTTCTTCGCCATTCTGTTTTTCGTTCTGAAATGTCGGAAATACGTGGCCAAAGCAGGCTTAGAGCTACCTGCGTGGACAGGTCAGACAGTGTTTCATTAAAAGATGTTGAATTCATGGCTATTTTAAATAAGGAGCCAAACATGGACTGTAAGATAGTAGCATTGGGTATTGGAAGTAGTGTGAAAAGCCTAAACACAGAAAAATGCATTCTTAAAGCAAGAACATTAATTTAAAACATTGTACTTACTGATGAAATGGAGCAAAATGCCTTTAATGCCATTAGCACAACCAAGTTAAAATACTGGGGAATGTAGCAAAATGTCTTCAAAATATTTTCTGTAATATTTCTCTGAATCTACTACATTATGTGCTAAGTGCAGCAAATACCATTAGAACTCAATTTAATAGAAGCATATTTAAAATAGTCATTGCACTCTAGAATGTAGCCAACTGAAAGCTTCTTGATAAATTTAAACAGAAATTAAATAAAAATAGCTCCTTTGCTATTTAAAGTAGTAGCACAAGTTTAAGAGTGCAAGAATTATTAATTGTCTAAAAGACTCATGCCAGGTATTAATGCACACACAAATGTGTCATTCAATTAAATTCCTGAACCACTTTTAGAATTCTCTGGCTAGCTGACTTTTTGATAATGTTACACAAAGACTACTACTCGATTATTACTCTAGCTTCTGTCTTGAGCCAATGATTTCCTTTGTAAATGTCAAATATTCTGCTTGTGTATAATCCACTCCATAAAAATAACATTTGGAGACAAGCAAAAACTGAATGACAGAGGGAAGACTGGTATCCTTTTCTAAACTAATCTCCACATGCATGACCAAATGAAACCCTTTGTCATAGGTCTTGATTTAATAGATAAAATGGCAAAATAGAAGCTGATTTTTTTAAGAAAATATGGAGGTTTTTTTAGAAAGCCCCAGAGTAATTACTGCATTATCACCTTTGAAATGCTGCTATTTGAGTTTTCTTGTTTCCTTCATCCAAAACATGAAGCCAGCTATCATAAAGACGGTCCGTAAGAAGACTTCCTGGAATGCTTGAAAGAAAATTCTTATATAGGTAAAAAAAAAAAAGAAATAAATCATATTATTCTCATGGGAACAGCCATTGGCTAACCTAGAAATAAAACTTTTGATGCTTTGAGTTTAGTTCCAATGTTCTTCACAGACACCAAACTGTGACAGCTCCAAGACTATCTCCAACTCTCCACTTAACTTGTTCTACAGAAGCATGCATGTGGATTTTCTGTGTCCAAAAGCAGAGAATACATACAGGGTGTCTAGACAGTGGTGGGAATGGAGACAAAGTCTACTGCCATTATCTGACACTTCCTTCCTTAGAAACATCTTACAAACTAGTAAGATCTGTTGTTGAGCCATATTACTTCTACGATTTTCTTGATAAGAAATAAATATACACATTTAGCCTGTTTATTTCATGCCCACTAGTTTTAATTTCCAGCAGTAAAGGTTTGAAATCAGATAACATAAATATCTACATCCATGCATACACTCATATACACTTGGAAAGTGAAGATGAAAGTTTCTGACTTGAGTTGTGTGTTCTCAAAGGGAGAAAACTCACATCACAGTCTCATTCTTCACGTCTTTATGGAAATTAATCTCTCTATAGGTCTTTTTATTTTAAAAATTTATTTATTTGAGAGGTAGAATTATACACAGAGAGGAAGAGACAGAGAAAAAGGTCTTCCATCTGCTGGTTCACTCCCAAGATGGCCACCATGGCCAGAGCTGGGCTGATCCAAAGCCAGGAGCCAGGACCTTCCTCCTGGTCTCCCTTGTGGGTACAGGGGCCCAAGCACTTGGGCCATCTTCCACTGCCTTCCCAGGCCTTTAGCTTGGAGCTGGAACAGAAGTGGAGTAAGCGGAACTTGAACTGGCACCCATAAGAGATGCCTGTGCTGCAGGCAGAGGTTTAACCTACTAGCCACAGCATTGGCCCCTCTTTATAGTTATAAGCAGAAAGGCCTTGCATATATTACCATATGCCTAGTTTTTACCTACAAGTTATTCTTTACATCCATTGGCTGAAACACGTACAATCCCCACAAGAAGATTTTAAGCATAATTTAGATATATCACTAATCCAGGTCTTTAGTTACCCAGACTATAGATAAGCTTGCTAGTGGATCCAAGGAAAGTTTGCTCATTTATGGCACTGATGAACAATGTTAATAACGTGAAATTGAGCCCATGAAACTTTATGAAATTTCAGTTTCTTTATCTAAGCATAAGTAGTTGGTTTAAGAAATGAATCCAGGCAACTATCATCATTATAATCCAATGAATATTCATACATTTTAATATTTATTTAACTATTATTTGTCCTGCAGTCAGTAGCACTTGAGATGAAACAATGAAGTCAGAAGACACAGTCCCATTCCAGTAAAACTTCACTATGTCATTGGTCTGCAATAGCACCCATATCAATAATATGTGTTAAGCAGGTATTTTGTGGAGTTGGATCAGCCTGTGGAGAGAGGAAATCCTCAAGCTGTGGCTGGCTCTGGGAGCTTGCCAAACTCAAGGCACTTTTGGTGATGCAAACCACTTGAACACACACTTGCATCATGTGCCTTCTTTCTGATATCTTAAACCAGGTGAAAGGCTGGATTTTTTTAAAAAATTTATTTATTTATTATTTATTTGAAAGGTAGAATTACAGAGAGAGAGAAAGAGAAAGGTCTTCCATCTGTAGTTCACTCTCCAAATGACAGCAATGGTGGGAGTTGGGCCAATCTGAAACCAGAAGCCAGAAGTTTGCTCTGGGTGTCCCACGTGGGTTTTTTAGAGGCTCAAGTATTTGGGCCACCTTCTGCTGCTTTCCCAGGAACAATATAGTAGCAGGCAGATGGATGGGAAATAAAGCAGCTAGGATTCAAACCAGTGCCCACATGGGATTGCGGCACCGCAGGAGGTGGCTTAACTGGGTATGTCAGAGTGCTGGCCCTGGGAACTGGTTATTAAAGTCACAACACAACCCAAGAAGATTATGCCAAAGATATTTGCTATTGGGTCTCTGCTTCTAGACACCTGAATGACAAAATCAATGTGCCCCTGGTTATATATCTATTTCTTGTCTAAAATAATTCTCTAGTTTTCATACTTGGTAATCATAAAATTTATTTTTAATCATCACTACAGTGACATATTTTGTACATAGCTCTTAAAAAGCAGCAGGATGTATTGATTCATTTTTTTCTCTGCTCTTTTATTTTCTCTTATAGAAATATAGCAGGTACTTGTGATTTAGCCTCATCTTTTCAAAATGTATTTATTTTCCATAGAGATAACTAAATATTCAGAATTCTGAACTAACTTGGGTACTACATCTGAATTCAGAGTCATTTTCAAAGCAAGGCTTGTGTTGAAAGTTACTCTACTTTTAGTACCATGGATAGTGTGTTAAATTAGTTACTAACCAAGCATACCAAAGTTCACGAAACTGAAAGAAGGCAAAAATGGTGAAATTGTTCCTATACCACTTTTAAAGTGCAGACATAGGGGACAGGGGAAAAAAATCATCATTAAATAAATGGAGGTTTTGATGGCCCTTTTTTTTTTTAGCCTTTGTTGATTCAGTGTAAAGCAAATTCTGTAACAGCTTTCAAAGCTTAATAGAATTTTTTTAAAAAGAGAGCTTGGTGATAATATGGTGTGAAAATCATCAAATCCAGAAGGTTTGTTTGGATCCTCATTCTGTGTTGGGAAGGGTAAGTTCTGACATGATTTTGGGAACAGCATTATTAATAATATTAGTTCTATATGGATTGTTGAGAATGAACAGGACAGGGTCATCTGTGATGATCAAAAACAAAAGCATATGAAGTCCACGGGGCTTTCAACAACCAATGAAGTAGTTGCCTTCAACATGTACTTTGTGATATTGGTTTCAGAATCTTAAATTTAGACCTATTATTATTCTTAGGCAACCATAATGAGTGAATATAGGTGATGCTAAAACTTTTCCTACCATGAAGGTGGTTGCAACCACCAGAACAGACTGCCTCTTCCAATTCACCTGGCGTCCCAAATTCAATTTCCTCTGCAGTGCTCTACATGATTTCCGATTGCCCTGTTTTCTAAACATGCCCGGTGTGCACAGACTTTTGTGCTCAATTATGAAAAGCATATCCTGTGTGTGAAATAAAGGGTATAAAATTATATGACATCCCATTTCCACAAACCCAGAACACATGTATGTCTCTGGTATGACAGGTACCAAAAATATGAAAAGTTACAGCTAGCTCTACAGAGAATGGAATGAAAATAACTATGAAGATTTCATTTTGGTGTCTCTGAATACATTTTGTATCCACCAGTCATTCTATGTTCCAACAACAAAACATGTTAATGCTTGATTTAACAGTGTTATCCTTTCCCGTGAATTTATACCTCTAAATCCAACTTTCCCAATGATTGTCCCCAAGGGTGGACATTTTGTTTCTAGATCCATTTCCATGTTATACTCCCTTTAGAGTGACTATATACTCCATTTCTGCCTCTTAGAGTTGTCTTCTCCTTTAAAACCAAGCTGAAAACTGTTTTCTCTGAAACCTTCTGATTGCATTCCCTTTTACCAAGTTTATTTTTTCAATTTCCTACTGCCCTATTTACATGTCTAATGCAGAAGAACAGTAAGTTTCAGAGTCAGTTATTCTGCAGCATTTTCAATCAAGTATGCCATTTGTTTGCTCAGTGAGCTTGGTCACAATAAAGAACTTCATTAGGACTTTTATTCCTTTGGTGACATGGGGATGTCAACACAGATTTCTTCTACATACACTTATGGAAGGTGCAAAGTCTAGTGCAGCATCTGCCATGTAGCTGACATGATGAATTTCTTCACATCTAGCCTACAAATCCTTACATTAAGAGATGAGCTTGGCTGAACCCTCAATAAATGTACCACTCACAATGTAGTACCCCAATTTTTATAGGCCTCAACCTGTAGCTTCCAATTCACAAATTCCTTTAGAACGAAGGATTCACACATGCCAGGGGATGAATTTTTTATGTTGAAGCCCTGAAGAGACAAATGTAATACATGTGAGACATTTTGAGTGGTAAGATTAAATTGCCTGGAAGAGGAAATGACAGGAAACTTCTGATTAGCAGATAATTCCGGTTCTTAAGAATCCAAGGAGAATGTGAAGGGGAGGTGGACTCACAGAGACTCAAACACAGAGCCCATTTTAATTTTTCTGTGCAAGAGTATGGGGTCTTTTTGCCGAAACATAGACTTGCTTTTTTCACTCTGCAATACCTAAATGAGATTGTCTGCACTGCAGTAGCATGAACAAAGCTTATCAGCCAAATATGGTGGCTATCTCATGTTTTCTCCACTGGGTGACAGATTTCAATGAGGAGACTTGACCCCTCCAAGTTCTCTCAACAAAGATGGGTTATTGAAAACCAAAATGAGACCTACCAAGAGAGGTCTGGGCAAGTTGTCATTCTTGCAAACATCTTGGATTAGAGACCCAAATAGCTGAGGTGGCTCAGGTGTGGGCAGGGTAGGTTCTTCAAGCGAGCTGTCCCTGCTTCCATAAGAGCCCCACTGATTCAGCCACTTTCTTAAAGAATGTTCACTTTGAGTATGTTCCTGGTGGGGATCTGAAGAAGAAGTGAGATGATTAGTTGCAGAGTTGAAGTCATAGATACTCATTTACAGCATTTCCAGGTTATGGCACATGAGTTGAGTAATTAGAAAGGGAGAAATTGTATCCTTTGTTGTGTAGGAAGGTCTACATTCTGAAATTGGCTCCCAGAACCCATGTGCTCTCCTTCCCCATCTCCTAGAAACTGCTAAGGAAATCTAGAACAGTCTCATGTTCAACTTTTGTGGTGAGAATACTTGTTAGATGGTGCTAGCCACAGCTTGTTGCATTGTACCATGAGGTTTTTAATATATAAAGGTGCAAATTTCCTGATGCTAAGTTTATAGTAAATTCATGGGTAAGATCTCACCTGAAAAAGTAAAAGGCATTTGGTGTTCAAACCAATTGGACATTGATGATCATCTTATTGCATAGTAATTCTCCTCCAATTCATTTATCTTCCCTGGCATTTGGAACGCCTAGCAATTGCCAACTATCTCCCATCATAGGAATCCACCCTTCCGTACACAAGTTGCCCGAGCCTACTCCTTAGTCATTCTCTGGCCCACTCATCTGTAGGGATGGCAACTTCAGGCAGCTTAACGGATAACCCACATTTGCAGTCGGTGTCCTTGGTTGTGTGCAATGATCCTCTATGGTCTTGTGCCTTGTGACATCTGACCAAGTGAACCAAAATGATTTCTAACTTATCAGCAGTCCCTGCAAAATGAATGCTGATCCAGAGTCGCTTTTCAAAGAAAAGGTGATCAGTAACAAACAGCTGAGTTCAAAGGATTTATTGCTGAAGTGTGCATGCCTTCTCAATAAGATATCTTAACATTTTCTCAAATAATCCCCTTACAGCAAACACTGTAAAATTCAACTGAGGAGCCAAGGTGTAGCCTGATAGATGGCTGTGTTCCATAATCAGACTTTAAAACACATCTACTGGCCACTTCAAGGGTATTGAGTGTATCACCTTTGCATACACATGAGGGCAACTCTCCTGGTGGTAAGAAAGATCAAGAGGGCTCCTGGTTCTGTTGCCTCTTCATGGTACTAGTCTGAATTATAGACTACTTAGCAGAAGTTTTGGTTCATATAAGCCCTGATCCAAATGATTTCAGTTCTCACTCATTTGACCCAAAGCAGCCTAGACATCATTTGACTCAATCCTAATACTACATCCAGTTTAGTAGTCTCTAGGAAAGATGCAGGCAAGAAAAATGTCAGATCTACCTAGAATTCATTTCTGTGCCATTTTCAAAGAAGAGAAAGAAGGAAGAAGAAAGTCAATGCATTATTAAATCCAAGGGCCTATTTCTGTATGTAGCATGTGCAAAGTTTTGTCCAAATTTTACATTAGTACATAGCTTGTCCAGTTTAATGCAACCTGATGTACCTACACTTAAGGACACACAATTGTCTCATGGTCAAGCTTCAGGTTGATTGTAAGCCCATGGATAACCGAGATTCATACAAAAGAACTGTTCAGCTGAATCTTCACTAAAGCACTAACATGCATCATCAAGCAAATGAATGGTTATACAAGTGATGTGTGTTATGGAATCATTCTTATTGCATCCATAAGAAGCATATACATTATGGTAAACAACTAGGTATATGAATATTTCTAAATATGGTAGAAATGGAAGATGGAATATGTATTTTATCAAATATGTCTGAGGAAGTTCTAAATGTTTGTGGAAATGCAATTTAAACTTTATTTTTATTCAAACACTTTTAAATGCATGCATAGATGTCATATGAAGCACATTTCATTAACTTTGCACAATAATGTATTCATACCAACTTGTTACAACACGTCTCAATAGGATAGTTTCAGACACCTGCAAGGTTATGGCATCTTTATTCAGCAAATATTGATGTAATAACTAAGACAAGGTTTATATGGAAGCATGGGTTGAATGCTGGTGGACTCACTGATGCTTTATGAAAAAGTGATGAGGACAATGTCCTGAAAAAAATCAGCAGTTTGCAAATTTTAAGGAGTGACAACAGGATGTTAATGATGAAGCCTGCAACAGCATACCATCTACAAAAATTTGCACTTGCCCTGATGGAACAGAACTGACTAGTAGCAGCAGAGACTTTAGAAAACACCATTGACTTGGGGCCAGTGCTGTGGCATAGCAGGTAAAGTCGCCACCTGCAGTGTCAGCATCCCATATGGGTGCTGGTTCGAGTCCCAGCTGCTCCACTTCCAATCAGCTCTCTGCTAAGGCCTGGGAAAGCAGTGGAGGATGGCCCAAGTCCTTGGGCCCCTGCACCCACATGGGAGACCCAGAGGAAGCTCCTGGATCCTTGATCCTGGATCCTGGATCCTGGATGCTGGATCCTGGATCTTGGCTTTGGATTGGCACAGCTCTGGCCATTGCAGCCATTTGGGGAGTGAACCAGTGGATGGAAGACTTTTCTCTCTATCTGCCTCTTCTTCTCTCTGTGTAACTCTGACTTTCAAATAAATAAATCTTAAAAAAAAAAAAAAAAGAAAAAAAAAGAAAACACCATTGACTTCTCAGAAGGGCCTAGTTTCACAATTAATGCCTGAAAAGTGAGTGATGAACTAAAGATAAATGATCTAAAAACATGATCAAAAGTATCTTCTCTAGCCAGCACCATGGCTCAATAGGTTAATCCTCTGCCTGCGGCACCGGCACCCCAGGTTCTAGTCCCAGTCAGGGTGTCAGATTCTATCCCAGTTGCCCCTCTTCCAGGCCAGCTCTCTGCTGTGGCCCGGGAGTGCAGTGGAGGATGGCCCAAGTCCTTGGGCCCTGCATCCACATGGGAGACCAGGAGAAGCACCTGGCTCCTGGCTTTGGATCAGCGTGGTGCACTGGCCGCAGTGCACCAGCCACAGTGGCCATTGCAGGGTGAACCAATGGAAAAAGGAAGACCTTTCTCTTTGTCTCTCTCTCTGTCCACTATGCCTGTCAAAAAAAAAAAAAAAAGTGCCTTCTCTTAGTTGAAAGTACCTCATGGATATCATTTTACCAGAAATTTGGTTATTATTGGATGGAATGTGTGGCCTTAATTTAAACTCAGAGAAAGCCTGCAGACACTTTGAGAAAATAGTCCATAACACACTGATAAAGGAAATGAAGCAAAAGCAAAATCCAAGGTAGTAATGGAGATTCAAATCTATGGAGATTAGAAAATAGAGGACAGAGAGCAAGGTGGGCCTTAACATTTTTGAGAAAGTAGTTATTGAGGTAATGTTAATGAAAGTATAGTGAAAACAAAAGAAGTAGTAATAGGATTCTTATCTTCATAACTCAGAAAATGGACAGCAGAGAGCTGGGTAGACTCGTACCAGGTGGGGCCTTGTCAACTTCCCCAACTTGTGCTTCCTCATCAGTCTCTATGCTTGAGCAGGACTCCAGAGGTGTCTGCAATTCCTCTGTTAAAATAAAAAAAAAAAAAAAAACAGTTGTCTTAGTATGAATACACTCAGATACCAGATTCAACTTCTGGTATTGGGACAAAAAATTATTAAATACATGCACTGCTTCCTCATGATAAGTATTTTCTTAAGTTTTTAAGCTTCATGAAAAAAGTTCATGAAAATATACATTATGAAAAAACTATGCATGGATTTAAAAATGATTTTGACCAAAATAAATACATAGATTCCATCTTTATATTTTATTTTTAACTTTAAGTACCATCTTTGAATGAAATATGTGAAGTCCCCTTGCATAAAGGAGAAGGCGAGATCAGATGGGATGAGCTGGCAACATCATAAATGCTCATCCAGTGTCCAGCTGAGAGTCAATCATTGAAAAACATGAAGCTACAAAGTTGTCTTAAATTACAATGTTTTGTGTCCAGTTCTGTACCAGGAAATTCAGTTCTTTCTGGACACAAGCTGTGAGAAGCAGTGAGAAAAATCTTGCAGATATTTTTGGAAAAGTTCTTAGTGTAATATTAAAGGAAGCAAGGAATAACAAGAGTCATGATAACAGTGCAAATTCTAATCATCAGTGATTTACAAAATAGAAGACAGAGAGCTGGATGGGTCCATACCAGTTATGGATCTGAGGTCTTCCTCTACGTGATCTGTGTAATCAGTATCTATGCTTGAAATGGGGGTAGGCACCAGAAGTGGTACCAGGTTATCTGTGGAAAAGAAACCAAAAGGTTATCTAAATTTTTGTTGTCTAAAAATTTGTATAAATATTCTCAGATTCTAGACTCATGTCAACTTCTGATATTGATAAGTTTTGAATCCATTTATCTATCCATCCCTGAATGTTTTGAGGCTTCATGGGAAAATTAATTAAAATATATTTTATGAGAAAAATGATGTATGGATTTAAAATTTTTGGCCAAATAAACTCCTGTTTTCAATTCTAATTTATATTTTTTATTTTTATCTCTGAGTACATTTCTGCAGGAAATGTCCTCTTAGATAAAAGAAAAGGAAAAAAAGATCCAATAGGGTGAGCTGGTAACTTGGAAATTGTTCATACAGTGTTCAGCTGAGAACCAATAATCAAAAACCATGAAACAAAAAGGTTGTCTTAGCTTAAGGTGCCTCATGTCCAATTTTTTATCATGAAGTTCAATTCTTTCTTTACAGAAATGGAAGATTTCATCCAAAGTAAGAAACATCTTGCAAAGTTTTTTTTTTAAAGAAGTTATTAGTGTATTGTTAAGGGGAGTTCAGGAAAAATCAAAGTGGTTAAGTAATTACGGAGATTCTAACCTAGTAAAAATTCTGACATAAAGCTGGGTGGGCCCATATCAAAGGTGGACTTAGAGTCACCCTTCAGCTCTTCACTTGTTTTAATCAGTGTCACATCCATGGGTTGGCAATCAAGAGATTGCACCTCCTTAGTATCTGTGGAAGGAAAAAACAAAGATTGCCTTGGTTATCAATATTCTCATATAATGGAATCAGGTCAATTCCTGATCAAATGAGCTTTCCAAAATATTTCCTCTAAGCAATAAGATGAATATGATAAAACCACTGATCAGAAAACATAGGAAGGGACTCATGATACATGCCCCCAAGTCCTACTAAACTCACCCTTATCAAATTGCTGGATGTCTCTTAGCTACATCTACCTAGGATTGAATGGTACAAATTTCTAGGCTCATGGGGATTTCTACTAGTCATATTTTGTGATGTTCTTTTTAAACTAATTTGTTTTGCATTCATCATCTTTAACCCTTAAAGCAATCATAAAATTCAGATATTCCTTCCATATTTTACTGGTATGAGCCTGAGTGACAAAATAACTGCCAAAGACAGGGCCACTACTCAATGATGGCACAGGGTTCTAGCTTCCAGAACAATTGTAAGACATCAGAGCAAGTGCTTTGCTCCTCAGTGATGCTGCTTCATTTCACACCCTTTCAAAGAGCACTGGAATCGTGGGATGCTTCAGGTACCCCAGAGTGTCAAAGGAGCCGATATAAAGCAGGCAATACTGTGAGCCTCTTCAATGAGTTTCAACCTGGACATATTAATGATATGTCTGAGAGCACTTCAAAAAGTTTATGGATGAAAGAATTTTAAAGTAGGACTTCATGTTGGTCAAAAATATTTTCACATGATGTCAAAAATATATATTATGAAAAATTAAACATTGATTTGAATATGTTTTGTGCCATAAGCCTGACATTTTAATTCCATGTTTCCAAAGAATTTGTGAGGTACTCTCATATGAAAAGGCCCCATTTAAATTAGGTTAGAAAATGAATCCACACAATGGATCATAGCATGATGTCTCTCAAGCAGTTATGATTTGAACAAGCAATTCTGTACATTAGGGACCTCTTCTCAACTTTTCTTTGGTCTCAAGACATTATGAAACTGCTCCTGAACTGTGGAAGCCTTGAAAAGGCAGAGGCAGTAGAGTCGTGGGCAGTACAACATTGTTCTTGGTACTGGCCCCTGAGCTCTAGAACTGACACTGCCTAAGCACCTTTCTCACACCTGGTGGCCTTGTTATCTGTTTCTCAGCAAAGCCAGTGACCCCAGATGGAGGATCTGCCATGTTCTCATGGAGATCCCAGAAAGCTCTCACCCACAATGTTGTCACTGTCCCCCGAGACATTATTGCAATTCACAGCATTGTCCCCAGTATTGTTGTAGAAAATCATGGGTCTCTTCCGCAAGACTGAATTGGTGGCATCTTTAAATATCTCAGGACAGTTCTGTATTAGAAAGTATGTCA